ATACTGACAAGAACAATTTTACTTGTTTGTATTTTTTTTTCTTAAAATAAGACTCACGATTTTGCTGTGTGCATGTATTATGGATTTGGCTTGATTTACATGAAATTAGGTTATAAATTATACAGGGACTGAAAAGCGTAAACATGCAGTGCTTCCACTTCCAACTCTAGGCCTTTATGTAATGTGATTTATTTACGCATAGATATATTGCCAGGCATGAATTTTGCATACCCTTTCCGCAGCTCAGTTTTCTGAGCATCAATAATGACACATTAAATTTTACGCCGTTTTGGGATAATTTTGGCTAGGAGTAATGGTTCTCCTAGCCGCTTTATTTCTGTTAACAAAACGATATTTATTAATACATTGCATTAAAATTCCAAATAGTTACGCTCAGAAAAGGGTGGAGGCAAATTACCGCCAGCACCTGTAGATACGGCCTACGACCATCACTAATTGAGATATAACGTTCCTCTCTCTATATATATCAGCTACGGTAAATCGTCCAATGTACATAATTGTTAGCGGAGGCTTTGGGGAGGAGGTGGGTTCAACTTTAAAGGAGATCTGTCTTTCGCGATGTCACGCTTAAACTGACCGTTTATGGTTTGGGTATTCGGTCTTTGTTAGTTTTCGATTTGCTGCTGGCCATTGACCACCTTTCCCATATTGCGTGCCATCCATTACCTGTCGGTCTTTTAGATAGGACACAAAGCCCATAATATAAGATTTTTAATTATCGTCGGCAAGGCGTATCCCTTGGGGGTTAACCTTGCCTTAATAGTCTATTTATAAAATCACATTACATAAATTTCTTATTTCCTTCGTAAATATTTTGTTTTATGTAATGTGATTTATTTACGCATAGATATATTGCCAGGCATGAATTTTGCATACTCTTTCCGCAGCTCAGTTTTCTGAGCATCAATAATGACACATTAAATTTTACGCCGTTTTGGGATAATTTTGGCTAGGAGTAATGGTTCTCCTAGCCGCTTTATTTCTGTTAAACAAAAGATATTTATTAATACATTGCATTAAAATTCCAAATAGTTACGCTCAGAAAAGGGTGGAGGCAAATTACCGCCAAAACAACGAAGCAAAGCAAGTTGACCCCACCCCAAGGAAAGGGATGCATGCAGAAAGTTTCAGAAAGTTTCGTAATACATTAATACAGGATCAGCGGTCTGCGCGACCGTATAAACGAACATGGGCAAAAAGGCACTTACAAAGCCCGTTAAAAGGCATAGATTATCGCCCTTGCTGATAATCTACACTTAACTGATATTAGTTTAGCAGAGTCACAATATTACCGCGCCCAGAAGAAGCTTCTCCATCACCCTGTTATAAGCACTTTATTTCCCCCCCCCGGAATGCAAACGATCGCCCTTGCTGACCATGTGCAAGCTGAGGAAGAAATAAAATAACCGCACAATTCGAGCAGAAAACTCCCCGCACGTTTTACGCTCGAAATTCATCCAAACTATGTTGATAGGGAAGAAAAACGTATATATTTGAGGAATGCGTTAGATTTCCAACGCCCCATTGTTCGAATTTGGGCATCAGAGTGCCCGTGTTCAGCTGCGTGGGAAGCGGCGCCTATTCGAAATGAATGAGACTTATATTTGGAAGTATCGAGTCCACAGAAGCGGAAAGCCTTTTTAAGAAGATTGGCAAACTCGTCACACGAGACTGGAATGCCCAGTTGTGATAGAAAAATAGCTCCGGGCTGGGTACTTAGCAAAATCATGTACTCCTCTAATAAGCGAACAGGACAGCATGCCGTTTGCCTGTAAATTTCCAAACTGAAAGGTCTACTGTTATAATTGTGCTTGAAGTCCTCGAAAGTCAACCTTATGCCTGCAACCCGGCCATCATCGGGAGATATTTTGGAGAGTTGTCGCAATTGAAGGGGCTCGTTATTTGACTTCTTAGTTATTTCTCCAATTCTCAGGAACGCAAAAAATGCTAAAGAGCATATTGCCCGGAATTGACATATTTGTTACGGTGACCCAGCAATACGAGGCGCAGCCTCAATAAGACGATTGAGAATTGGTAAAGTTATAGGCAACCTACTATCTAAGCGGAAGCCTTTCTTACCATACCCCTTTAAGATTTGCGTTACGTAGAAAACTCTCGTTGGATCCGGTAGATCGGACATGCGATGAGTATAACCAAGTGCAGATACATAAGTGTTAACTGTTGAAGAGGCGTACTTGAGGTCAAATAAGTACGCTATGAATAACGCAACGACTGAGGGCGACAAAGGCAAAGTGAACGATCCCTCATTAAAAATTGCCCCATGAAATTGCGTAAAAAGTGCCCATGCCCGTTTATAAGTCGGCACTGAAGAAGGTTGCAAGCTACTTTGAGCTAATTGAGAAACTATAGTCGCCAATTTTCCGGCAGCAGGTGAAAGGGAATAGGCGTTGGAGCTCGATGCATGTCGGCCGGCGCCAATTGTGAAAATTTTTGGAGCTGTAAACGAGACAAACAATCAGCTAGGACATTTTGTTTACCCAGTATATGCTTTGCTTTGAATAAAATATTGTATTCTAAACAAACTAAAACCATCCGGCGAACGAGTGTCATGATATAAGAATCCTTTGCTGTTTGCTGATTAATAACAGACACCAAAGCTTCATTATCCGTGAGAAACAAAATACAATGATTGCGCATTTTTGATCCCCATAAACACAGGCTGAGGACAATCGGATATAGCTCTAGAACGGCAATATTGTAACTCCGCCAGTCAGTTGGCCATGCGCCATAGCACCAGTCGCAACCAAACAGGGCCCCAAAACCAATACTACCCGAAGCGTCAGTATATAAATTCAAATGGGAGTTATTACGCCAATGGTTGTGCAAAAAGAATGATTTGCCGTTGAAATTCGACAGAAACGTTTGCCAGACACGAAGATCATGTTTCACACTTTGCGTTAAGCGAATAAAGAAATGAGGGTGTGAAATGCCACGCGTTAGATCAATTAAGCGTCGCAGGAATGCGCGACCTGACGCATAATGACGGAACATGCGAAATTAAGTAATCCAATTAAGGACTGAAGTTCTTTGAGTGTAACCTTTTTACGAATTAAAAAGCGTGCGATAGATTGAACACATTTCTCGATTTTATCCATCGGCAATCGGGCCTGGAATTGTATTGTATCTAATTCAATCCCAGCGAACGTTAAGGTTGTTGAGGGACCCATGGTTTTTCCCGGTGCTATATGCACGCCAATGAAATCACAAAGAGCAATGAATCCTTGTAAGTTTGTTTTACAAGCAGAATAATCCGGTGCAACAAACAGGAAGTCGTCGAGCAAATGAAGGAGTTTGCCGATGTTAAGCCTTTCCCTAGCGATCCATTCGATAGCCGTACTAAAAATCTCAAAAGTGCGACACGAACTGGAGCAACCCATTGGCATTGCCCGCACAGAGAATTTTATCGAGTTAAAGCAACTCTTTTTGTAGGGTTAAAATAACTTCTTGGTGTAGAGTTATTTTTCTAGAGTTATTTTTACTCTGAAAAGAGCGTTATTTTAATTATCCTTCCAATAATCGGAGTTGAAATAACACTATCTAGAGAGTTAAAAAGAGAAGAAGTTATTTTAACTTCCCAAGGGAGTTATTTTTACTGCATGAGAGTCAAATCAACTACACTTACGGAGTAAAATTCACTCTAACTTTGAAGTTAAATCAACTCCTGTTTCATGGTAAAATCAACTCGAATTTCGGAGTTTAAATAACTCAAAATTTAGCGTTAAAACAACTAAAACGTCGGAGTTAAAATTACCTAAAATTTCAGAGTTATATCAATTCGCATTTCAGAGTTAGCTAAATCGGCGAAAACATCAAATCGCACTTCGGAGTTAAATCAATTCGAACTTCAGAGTTGAATTAACTCTAATTCAGTCTGTTCAGAGTTAAATGAACTCAAAACTGAAAATCAGTTGAAAGATTCGAGACTCTGGAGTTAAATTAACTCGAAATTTGGAGTTAAACCAATTCCAGCTTCAGAGTTAAATCAAGTAAAACTTCAAAGTACAATCATTCCGAACTTGAGAGTTAAGTCAATTCGAACTTCAAAGTTAAATTAACTCAAATGTAAACCTGTACATAAAGTAAATTTTACAAAAGACAGTGACCATAGACAATCCAGAAGATGTCTTCTGGATTGTTTATGCAGTGACTCTAGCTTGAACTCTTCTAATCTCCCTTTCCCGCGTATTTCATATCCAGGTTCCAAATATGGTCAAAATCATTCCTATGATGCATTTCGGTCAGGCACACTTCGGGCTGTGCTTCGGGTTTCTTTTTCTGTTTTTCAAGACTTTTTGTTCATGTCGACTGTTGTCGGACTTGTCGCACAGTTAAAAAGAATTTGATACACCTTGTCGCTAACTTAGCAAGTCTTTTTATTGAAAGTTACAAGTAGCAACTGCTTAAGGAGACAATAGATGGTAAGTACATTTTTAAAATTTGGTTGGCAAGCATAAACTGCATGGTGAACGTGAACAGCCATAAAACAGCCGCAGCGAAACTAAGCCTAGTAAATTCACACTATCTTGAATTTTTTAATTTCCTTTACGGTTTTTTAAGATTATATTAAGATATTCCAACAATTTTGCACAGTTTTTTCTATTTTTGAAGTCTTTTTAATTATTTTCAGGCCGTAAGGATTAGGGAATTTACTTTTAACTTTATTTTGAAAACAAAAATTAAGGCTTTTCATTTATATTAAAAACTTAGTGTATATTTCGTACACATTCGTGAACACAGCCACTGTAGAATATTTAAACAATTTAGTGATAACTTTATGATTTTTCATTGTGTGTGAATCTTGTCAGTTTACGCAAAATATGACTTTGTTTTCGAAAAGGCTAACGCAAAGAGGGGTTTGCATTTTTGTCAAAATACAAAAGTAAAGAAGTTTCAGTGTCTGGGAAGTTTGTAGGAAAATTCCCCTTTGAGTGGAAGCATCGTCACCAAAGTCGAGCAAAGTCCAAAGTCTTTACTTATTTTCTACTTTAAAGCATGCTTAAACTTTGCAGGAGCAGGATGTGGAGGGTTTGAAACGTAAATTATCCGAATCGGAAGCCAATGAAACGATAATCAGGCTACTGTTGATGAAGAGGTTGGTATTTTCTATTATTTATAGTGATATTAGTTCATGCTAAAATATTTGCACTTTTAAAATACACGATTCCCTCCGGTTGGGAAAAAGGATTATAAAAAATTATAAATGCCCATGTACGCAGGCCCATTGTTAACTTCTGCTTGCATACCATCGTGTGATTTAATAGATTTGTTAACTGTGAATCTTACGAAGATTCAGTTAAAATTAATTACTGAGGAAACATATTTGAATGATGTTTTCATAGTGCATATACATCTATCAATACTGGTATATTTTCCCACTCAGTATACATGCTTGTTCAGTACAACTGAAATCTTGACATAGTGGATTTTTTTGTGTACTGTGCCCATTTTTTGCCCCTGCATGTTGGGCCATATCGGATTTGACAGGGTCTTTAATGTGATTTGTGTAATTGTTGTGTCTACAGATTTTCGATGCCCAGTCTTTAAGGTTATCCATTAATGAGTTACTAAGAACTATTGGCCTAAAATGTGGACAAATCATTGCAATTAGAAAAGCATTTCCTAGTTCTTTGGATACAAGCACTAAAGAATCTAAAGAAAGCTGCTCCATGGCCTTAATCAACTATTCCTATGGTACGATTGTGTTAATATTTCAGGCAACTACTACTAAAGGATGCAGTCATCTCATTTGTTGTCAACATATCTGATTTTTAGTCATTTTCTACATTTCCTTTTTTATGTTTTCTTTGCTGCCAAATTGTAATGAACACAGACCCCCAATGCAATCATTTTTGCAGAAAAGCAGGAATCTGCCAAAACAAGTCATGTGAGTAATCAATATTAATGTATGTCACATATCAATTTCCCCACAACAAATATGTATATATATATAATAATATTATATTATATATATATATATATATAATTATATATATATATTTGTATCTTTTGTTCTCTTAAACTACCCTACCACCTATATTTACCCAGTTAAAAGACAAAAAAAGTGCAAAAGCCTAAGAATCTATAAACTTGTACATTATTTTTCACATATACAGTTATAGTTAGCTTAGAAACAGATTTGCCACCTTTGGCAATTTTTCTGGCAACTTGCACTTCAATTCTTCTTTTGGGAGATGTAGATTTGGCAACTACCGAACTTTTGTCTTTATTACGCTCCATTGCAGTTCTTACACTTACATTTTAATGACTCCTCACATTAACAGCTCTTTAAAGTAGAATTGCAATGCCAGTTACAAGGAAAATTGTGTGTAACCGTGTAACAGGGCCTTTAGAATTTATAGGTGGGAGATAATTGGGAGGCAAAAAAGATGTTTGCTTTCACCAGTCCACTCCTTATAAGCATCTCATCTACAAATTTTGAAGCGGCAAAATGAAGATCTCTGTTCTGTCATGTAGTATTTGACTGACTGTCATGACTGTCATGTAGTATTTATTCATTCATTTGAATTATTATGTGATATAATATTGCTGATTAATACATGGCAGGTTTAGACACGACCATTCATTTCCATGGAAAAACTTATTTATTTAGGAGCAAATAGAACTAGCTTGCATGAAATTGCACTTTTTAGAATACTAATTACTAGAAAATCATTGTTGTTTTAATCAACAGAGCAATGCATCACTGTCCAGTGCTTTTGTGAAAACACCTGAGTCTGGAAAAAGAATATAATATCCATAGAGCTGCCTGAAAAGTCATCGGTAATTAAAGCAATTCTATGAGAAAATAAATCAAATATATCATATATCAAGGTATATATATATATATATAACGTTAGTAATATTTATTTGCATTGCAGTTATCTCCAAGAGTACAACAGGGACTAAGAGAAGGAAAGTTGATAGACAAAGCCAGAAATGAGTATGTCCGAGATGTGTGCAATGTAATCCGTACATTTTCATTGTATATATGTATGCATGTACAGTATAGGCATATAGTTAAGTTCATTGCTATTGTTTTTAAATTTCATAACTTGCCCTACAGTTGTCCATGATTTCGCAGATACATCATATAGTCTATTAATCCTCGTGCGTGAAACTTTTTGTGAATTATGCTTACTATATTTATGTAGCTACCCCATATAATTATAAGCCAATCAGAAAAAGGCCAGTTATATTCAGTCCAATTAATTGGCTGATTATAACTAAGAATGTTCAATTACCCCCTGAGTTTACATGAGTGTAGACAATATGTTTTATTTGCGATTGAAAAGGATCAAATAATATATACTGTTATATTTCATGTTATAGATTTAAAGTTAATAACTGCATATTTTTATGTTTATATACGTGTTTTTAAATAAAGGTGAATTTTAATGATTCGGAGTTGTTTTCACTCGTTTATTGTGTGTGAGTTTAAATAATCCTGCAATACGGATGATGACTCTTTTTGGGGTTAAAGTTACCCTCTTCTTATTTGTTTTATTAACTCCATCGCCAATAGTTAAAATAACTCTATATTCGTTAGGTTAAAGTAACTCTGAAATACGGATATTCTGTCCCCGTTTTTTAACTCCATTTTTAGGGTTAAAATAACTCGTTGCAACTAAGAGTAATTTTAACTCCATATTCTAGAGTTAAAGTAACTCTGAAATACGGATATTTCTGTCACCGTTTTTTGACTCCTTTTTTAGAGTTAAAGTAACTCGTTGCAACAAAGAGTAATTTTAACTCTATATTCGTTAGAGTTAAAGTAACTCTAAAATACGGATTATTCTGTCACCGTTTTTTTAACTCCATTTTGGAGTTAAAATAACTCGTTAAAATTCTCTGTGCGTTAATAATACAAACTCCGCCATTTTATGCCTAAGAGGTGATAATCCGCTGGGCTGATAGGAATGATTCCAAAAGCATTTTTTATATCTTTTCGCCAGGAAACAACCCCGGCCCGCTTTTTTAATAAGTTGAATAGCGTCGTCAACGATAGCGTACCGCACAGATGTTCGAAATCGGGTATACCATCATTAACCGATCCCTTTGGAAACGAAAATGATGAATCATGCGAAAATCACCCGGTTGTTTTTTAGGAACCAGGCCCAAAGGCGAAACAAGAAAATTTGGAAAAGGCGGATAATTAAATGGCCCAGCAAGGCGAGATGCCTGTAACTCTTTCGTTAATTTTTGGTCAACCGCTTCTGGTTTGTCAAGAGCAGACCGTAAATTTATTGCTTCAAACGACTGTTCTGTGCCAGAGAAATGAATGCGAAAACCCGAAGTAAATCCGGAAATTAGTGTATCAACAATACTTGGATTATAACCTTCTAACAATATTTGTAAATTATGAAGTTTTATGGGTGTTGCCAACGGACGTTGTTGAAATAGGCCTAGGCGATCCATCAGTGGGAGATGGTCTGTTGTTGGCACGAAAATTACAATTCACGGCACGGTGCGATCCGTTGCATTTAAAACAAGTGTGCTTGAAATCACAACCGGCACAAAACGTTCCGCGATAAAACTTAAAACAATATCCCCGAGGAACAGACACTTTTGAAGGGTGGCGCGTATGATTGCTGCCTTGCGTGTTCGGCTTAGAAGTAGTGGGATATTGACATTTCAACCATAACTCCCAGTGAACAGTCGCCCAGGGAACCCGCGTGGCCTGTGTTTGGCGCAAAAATCGAAAATTCTCATCGTAGTAAAACCAATTATGACCCCTATTGACCAAATCCTGGATGATTTGACAATATTTCATGAGCGCGGGGGACTCATGGGGGTACCGTTGTGTATAAATGGAAACAAAAATATGAAACGAACGAAGCCAATCGCTAATAGTTTTCACCCTTTTGGATTTCGCAGTCGGCTCAAGGAGAAGAGAAGCAGGTTGACCGTTGTCAGAGGTACGTACACTAATCTCGTATTTAGCGGCCGCGTCTGGGCCACCTGACAAAGTACTTATATCGACAAACTCCTCATTCCATATTTTAAGCTTTATTTTATCCGGAATCCGCGATTCAAGAGGCAAAGCGGCAGAGTGGAACGATTCCCGTGGACCCGGGGCACTTGAACATTGAAGAGAAAAAGGAGTGGTCTGACCTGTAAGGTTTTCTTGTATGGACGTGAGCGCGTCGTTGACCAGAGAATCTGCATTGGGACCCTGGTTTGAGATTTCGATTCCGGAGGTAGAATCCGTTGGGGCAGACGCCATTGTGGATGTGGAAGACGCAGAGGTTGGTAAGAAACCAGCTAGCTTTTACGTGACTGCCTCGGTAACCGAAGACACCAGCGTTGAGATAAGCTCACTCGAAAGAGAGGGCAAAGTCGCTTGACTCACGGGCACAGTTGACGTTGACGGGGCGGCACCAACAGATACAGCATTGGACGAACTTAAAGTTCGACGAGATGTTGTTGTTGGTTCTGAACAGACTCTCGCAAAAACGGCTGATGGAGCGGCGACACGCTTAGAACGACGTACGGGTGGCATTCTAAGAAATAAAACTTTAAAAGCAGAAATAGATACTTATGGCGTAATGAGTTTTTAGATAGTAAAGCAACCGCACCCAAATTTTGTCGTGTGCGAGAAATAAAACTATCCCCCGTAATGGCGAACATTCAATAGTGAGGATTCGTCCGTTATTTGTCGTAATTGAAAATTGGAACTTGTGAAAGAATGATTAGAAAATCAAACGTCAGCAGGATGAACATGGCAGATCCGAAGATCGCCGCACCGTTCACCCTATGGCCAACAAAACTCACAAAAAGTGTGAGAACTCTCATACAGATGAGAGATAAAGACAAAATCAAACGTCAGCAGGATGAACATGGCAGATCCGAAGATCGCCGCACCATTCACCCTATGGCCAACAAAAAACTCACAAAAAGTGTGAGACCTCTCATATAGATGAGAGATAAAGACAAAATCAAACGTCAGCAGGATGAACATGGCAGATCAGAAGATCGCCGCACCTTTCATCATATGGCCAACAAAACTCACAAACAGTGTGAGAACTCTCATATAGATAAAAGATAAAGATATAATAGATAAAGGCGCTAAAGCGGTATTTAAGAAGTAATCACGAGTAAAGTTTGTCAAATGTCAAGAATATAATATATAATAAATATATATATAATATAATATATATATATATATATATATATAATATATAATATATAGATAGAGAATTTATAACATTTTAGTTGCTTGAAGAATGGCCCCCGATAACTTCGGTATAATTTATATTGCCCGATTCGATTAAAATGGACCCCGTCAGGTAGAAATGGCGTCACGGAAGGTCGTATAAAGCCATGGTGTGTCCATAAAAACACTCTCGGACCTTCTCTAAAACTACCTGTAGATAATTGTTCAGCATTAAACGCTGCTTTTCAAAAAGAGGGTTGTTCTTTCGCGGGGAAATCATGCATGCGCATACCAATTTTACGTGATATTGATCCAGCAATAAAGCAACCAAGTCGTCAATGCGTGACCCGACTGTTTCGGGCCTTAAGGAGGACAAATCGTTCGTGCCTATCTCCAGAATAACAATATCTGGGGCACACCGAGAAACTACGCCTAAATCAAATTTGCGAATCTTCTTCACTGTTCTACCTCCTATACCGTGTAGAGAAACTCTCGCTGTGCCCTTGAGTTTAAAGGTTGGGCACATGCGAATATCCCGTTTATGTTTCAGGTCGCACTGTAGGCGACGAACAAATGAGTGTCCCAGGACCAAAACTTTTGGGGGTACCATTGTGTATTCGTAGCTACTATCTATAAAAACCCTTCTGGGAGAAACTATTAAAATTATCTATCTATCTATCTATCTATATGTATATCAACATATAAATATATAGAAAAACAAGTAGAACACTTCTGTAAATACCTTTCAACTTTAAAGGAGATCTGTCTTTCGGGATGTCACGCTTAAACTGACCGTTTATGGTTTGGGTATTCGGTCTTTGTTAGTTTTCGATTTGCTGCTGGCCATTGACCACCTTTCCCATATTGCGTGCCATCCATTACCTGTCGGTCTTTTAGATAGGACGCAAAGCCCATAATATAAGATTTTTAATTATCGTCGGCAAGGCGTATCCCCTTGGGGGAACACCTTGCCTTAATAGTCTATTTATAAAATCACATTACATAAATTTCTTATTTCCTTCGTAAATATTTTGTTTATATTATACTGTACAATAATTCACATGATGGTTATAGTCGGTGCAAACACGCAGTTTGCTTGCAACTGCACATACCATTGTTTAGGCGATAGCTATCCGTTTTGACGCGAAACTTCACAGTCACGACCGCTGGATTCGATCGATTTCTTCAACAACTGTTTCCGAGACAACGTGTCCGCGATGTTTCTGGACCCGGAAGATACTTAACAGTAAAATCATAATTCTGCAATCTCAGAACCCACCTTTCGACTCGTGCAGAGGGCCTATGGGTTTTGGAATAAATCACTTCTAATGGTTTATGGTCTGTCAAAACCTCAAAGTGAATCCCGAACAAATACACATGAAAACGCTCACAAGCCCATACTATACTTAATGCTTCTTTCTGCGTCTGAGAATACCGCCTTTCCATGTCAGAAAGACATCTACTAGCATATGCCACAACCTTCATTACATTTTGTTGCTTTTGCACAAGCACTGCACCAAGACCAACAGGACTAGCATCTGAGATTATCGACGTTTCTGCATCCTTATCAAAAAAAGCCAATGAATCAGCGGTAGACATCGTATTCTTAAGCTCTTGAAACACCTTATTCTGTTCATTTCCACAAACAAAAGGTGTAGTTGTCCTGGTTAACTTCCGCAGGGGTTCAGCCGTTATAGCTAAATCTGGAATGAACAGACTACAGAAATTTACCAGACCAAGAAAACTCCGAACTTCAGAGGCTGTTTTCGGCTCCGTAGCATTCACCACAGCCCTGACTTACTCCTAAGTGAGCCCAATTGTAGTGTATATGCCTTGTCTCTGATACGGATTGATACAGATTGATCTAGTCTTCATAAAATGTTTTATTCTCTGTTTTATTCTATGTTACAGCATCATCCAGCAAGCCAACAACGGTGCTAATTACGCATGCATATTTATACCTTACAGCCTAATTAAATATTCAATATATATATATCACATAGACTACAAGATCTGGAGCTGAACGCCCATGGTCATTTAATTTACTTTATCCTTTTCACAAAGTTCATAATGAAAAACGGTTTTGGTAGGATTCGAACCATCCATTTAACACTTGGGAGACCATCCTCCTCGCCACTCGACTACAAGGTCTTGTGCTGGATGGCCATGGTTATTTAGTTTACATTATCCTTTTACGAAGTTCATAATAAAAAAAGTTTTTGGCAGGATTCGACCCATCGATTTAACACTTGGGAGACCATCGTCTTCGTCACTAGACCGCAAGGTCTTGTGCTGAATGACCCTGGTTATTTAGTCTACGTTATCCTTTCATGAAGTTCATAATAAAAAATAGTTTTGGCAGGATTCGAAACATCGATTTAACACTTGGGAGAAAATTGTCTTAGCCACTTGACCACAAGTTCTTTGGGTGAACGGCTATGTTTATTTGATCTACTTTACTGTTTTAACGAAGTTCATAATGAAAAAGGGTTATGGTAGGATTCGAACCATCGATTTACCACTTAGGAGACCATCTCCCTCGCCACTAGACAGCAAGATCTTGTGCTGAACGGTAATGGTCATTTAATTTATTTTATCCTTTTAACGAAGTTCATAATGAAAACGGTTAAGGTAGGATTCGAACCATCGATTTAACACTTGGGAGACCATCGTCTTCGCCTCTAGACCGCAAGGTCTTGTGCTGGATGACCATGGTTATTTAGTTTACTTTATCCTTTCACGAAGCTCATAATAAAAAATGGTTATGGTAGGATTCGAACCATCGATTTACCACTTCTGAGACCATTGTCCTCGCCACTAGACTGCAAGATCTTGTGCTGGATGGCCATGGTTATTTAGTTTACTTTATCCTTTTACGAAGTTCATAATGAAAACGGTTATGGTACGATTCGAACCATCGATTTAACACTTGGGAGACCATCGTCTTCGCCTCTAGACCGCAAGGTCTTGTGCTGGATGACCATTGTTATTTAGTTTACTTTACCCTTTCCACGAAGTTCATAATGAAAAACGGTTACGGTAGGATTCGAACCATCGATTTACCACTTGGGAGACCATCGCCCTCGCCACTAGACAGCAAGATCTTGTGCTGAACGGTTATGGTTATTTAATTTACTTTATCCTTTTAACGAAGTTCATAATGAAAACGGTTATGGTAGGATTCGAACCATCGATTTAAGACTTGGGAGACCATCATCTTCGCCTCTAGACCGCAAGGTCTTGTGCTGGATGACCATGGTTATTTAGTTTACATTATCCCTTCACGAAGTTCATAATAAAAAATGGTTTTGGCAGGATCCGAAACATCGATTTAACACTTGGGGAAATTTTTCTTAGCCACTAGACCACAAGTTCTTCGGGGGAACGGCTATGTTTATTTGATCTACTTTATCGTTTTCACGAAGTTCATAATGAGAAAAGGTTAAGGTAGGATTCGAACCATCGATTTACCACTTATGACACCATTGTCCTCGCCACTAGACGCAAGATCTTGTGCTGGATGGCCATGGTTATTTAGTTTACTTTATCCTTTTACGAAGTTCATAATGAAAACGGTTATGGTACGATTCGAACCATCGATTTAACACTTGGGAGACCATCGTCTTCGCCACTAGACCGCAAGGTCTTGTGCTGGATGACCCTGGTTATTTAGTCTACTTTATCCTTTCACGAAGTTCATAATAAAAATAGTTTTAGCAGGATTCGAAACATCGATTTACCACTTAAGAGACAGTTGTCTTAACCATTAGACTGCAAGGTCTTGTGCTGAACGGTTATGGTTATTTAATTTATTTATCCTTTTCACGAAGTTCATAATGAAAACGGTTATGGTAGGATTCGAGCCATTTATTTAACACTTGGGAGACCATCGTCTTCGCCACTAGACCACAAGGTCTTGTACTTGACGGCCATGGTAATTTAGTTTACTTTACCCTTTTACGAA